CTGAAGGCCACGTGGGCCTGAGGAGGAGGAGGACTGTTTGGATGCTGGTGACAGCACGTACAACCTTGTCTGGCTCCCCATCATGCCAGGCAAGCTGGGGGGTTACCAAGAGTAATGCTATTAATGCTATTATTTAATGCTAATAAATCCTTTCTACACTTTTGGTTTAAAACCCTGGTGTTTCTGCCACCACTAGCACTCTGCCACTGCGGCTGGGTCTCCAGGCCCATGCAAAGGGCAGTGCAGGGCTGGGGTCTCCCTCCTCCTGCCTCTTGGAGTCAGATTCAGGGGCCTATGGGTGCTGCACCCATCCAGCCTCCTCGGGTGCCACTGGTCCCATGTCCACCCCTGAGGGGGTCACCCCAAGCTCTCATGCCAGCACTGGTTTTGCCTCATGGAGGTGCAGGGACACTTCCTTCTCCAGGGAAAGGATGAGGAAAGGAGGGAACAAAATTCAACCCAAAACTGGGAGGCGAATGTGGTCTCAAAGGCAAAGAGCCAGAAACCCAGAGAGAGAAGAACCCACACTCCTGTTCCCACAGCAACTCGCCCTCCCCCTCCTCGCGCTGCCAGGCAGACACTCACCAGGCTGCCACCCAATGCAGGGCTTGTCATCTCCACTTATGCTTTTGATTTTGGGCTGGATTCACCCCACTCCCTCTACATGTCTGCTAGTGTTGCCCAGGACAGCACCAAAGGCAACTGAAGGGGGATTTGAGGTTGTCTTCCCATCCTGTGGAAGGGAGCAGGGGCTTGAGCTGGGCTTTCCAGTGGGGCAAACTCTGGGTGCCACCACCATTTGGGGTGGCACTTTGAGAGTGGCCTTAGGGCAGATTCCTTCACTACCACCCTGGGACAATGTATCTGTCTTTGCATGGACAAAATGTGCTGGAGAGCATTTCACAGGGGCTCCAGCCTTCTCTGGCTGCTTGGGGTGAGCAGGAGCTGCCCATGGGCTGCTCGGAGCCGCCAGGGCTGGGCTGCTTCTCTGCAAACTGGGTCAGCTCTTTGCCAGGCGTTCTGCACCAGGCTCCTGTTCT